GGTCCAGCGCGGATCCCGAGAAATCCGCGCGGACCTCCGAGTTATCCGTCAGGGCTTCGCCCCCTGTCGCCGGCACCCTCTCTCGGAGAATGGGCCATGGAAGAGCTAAGTCATGAGGCCTTGGCACTGTCGTGAAGCAGTATCGAAACTTCATGCGAAGCCGATTCGCAATCAGCAAAACCACCTGATCACAAGAGGGGTTACCACACCTGGCGATTGGTAAGACGTGTATGGTTTACGGGCTTGGTTACCACACCTTGCGATTAAAGGGCCGAGGGAGTTCTCGCAGTTTGGGTTACCACGCCTTGCGATGGATGTGCGTGAAGGGTGGCACCGAATTTCAGAAATGTGGCAAATCCCGTGTGTTTTTGGACCCTGACCCCGCGGATCTGCGTAAGGGGTGGCGCCGAGTTTCAGAAATGTGCAAATCCGTTTTTGGACCCTGATCTGGGTGAGGGGTGGCACCGAATTTCAGAAATGTGGCAAATCCCTGTGTTTTTGGACCCTGACCCCGCGGATCTGCGTGAGGGGTGGCACCGAATTTCAGAAATGTGGCAAATCCCTGTGTTTTTGGACCCTGACCCCGCGGATCTGCGTGAGGGGTGGCACCGAATTTCAGAAATGTGGCAAATCCCATTTGTGTTTTTGGACCCTGACCCCGCGGATCTGCGTGAGGGGTGGCACCGAATTTCAGAAATGTGGCAAATCCCTTGTGTTTGTGGACCCTGACCCCGCGGATCTGCGTGAGGGGTGGCACCGAATTTCAGAAATGTGGCAAATCCCTTGTGTTTTTGGACCCTGACCCCGCGGATCTGCGTGAGGGGTGGCACCGAATTTCAGAAATGTGGCAAATTCCCTGTGTTTTTGGACCCTGACCCCGCGGATCTGCGTGAGGGGTGGCACCGAATTTCAGAAATGTGGCAAATCCCATGTGTGTTTTGGACCCTGACCCCGCGGATCTGCGTGAGGGGTGGCACCGAATTTCAGAAATGTGGCAAATTCCCTGTGTTTTTGGGCCCTGACCCCGCGGATCTGCATGAGGGGTGGCGCCGAATTTCAAAAATGTGGCAAATCCCTTGTGTTTTTGGACCCTGACCCCGCGGATCTGCGTGAGGGTTGGCACCGAATTTCAGAAATGTGGCAAATCCCCTGTGTTTTTGGACCCTGACCCCGCAGATCTGCGTGAGGGGTGTCGATTTCGAGCCCCCCCAGCAATTCAGACAACGCGCCCAGGAGACGCTAAAATACCACTTTGAGCCTCCCCCCCCCCGCGCGGTCAATCAACTAGTTACAGTAACCAGCAATAAGTCAACTAGTTACAGTAACCAGCAAGAAGCAGAACTGTAACACTGGAAACTACAAGCTACAACTGGCACAGGAAACTGAGAACCTCGCTCCTACAGCCTGGTGGCCCCACAAGGGGGCCGGCGGATTATGCTTATGTCATGGTTCGTCCCCCTAGAGATCCAATCGGGGGGGACAGACCTCCTACACTGACACGTCGGTTGGCGAAGCGAATTGGCCGTTGTCGGCTCGCGAGAGGGCGTCGTGGCCGTCGTTTTTGCAGGTCCGGGTTCGTCGGCTTCGGTCCCAGGCCGTTTTCGCAAAGGGGAGGTCTACTAAAGGGAGGTTTGTCCACCGCCGATCCAACGTATTGAAAAAAACAAGACCGAGGTTTTTCGCAACTTTCGGCCTCTAGGGGCCCTTCGCCGGGCCCCGGGCCCGGGAGTGTCAAAAAACGATCCAGGATGAAAAGCCGGTTTGGGGGAATGGGTCGAGACTTCTGGGGACCCCGTATTGGAAAAATCACGACATCGGATCTCTGGGACCCGCCCGTGGGCCTCTGGTGGGTGCCTCGTGGCATAGATTGCGCCACACAGCGTGCACCATACAGATTGCACCATCTGCCTTGCAGTCCATAGACCCTCCCTCCTGCAGGGTGCCGGACTCTGCCTCCATGCCGAGGCCAGACTGCACAGCCCGGCTCCGCGCAACTATTCCCCGAGCAATGCCTGCCCTGAGAGCCGTTGCCTGTTCTGCTGGGGAAGTGGCGGGTAGCCTCCTCCTCCCGCCGCAGCGCCTGCCCGAGCGGAAGGACGCCCTGGGCGGCCCATCGTGTGCGCCGAGAGGGAGGAGGAGGAGGAGGAGGAGGAGGAGGAGGAGGAGGAGGAGGAGGAGGAGGAGGAGGAGGCGATAGGAGGGGAGGAGGGGGGTGAGGGGGGGGGAGGGGGAAGGAGAGGGGGGGAAGAGGGGGATGAGGGGAAAGAAGGGGAGGAGGAGAGGGGAGGGGGGGAGGACGAGGAGGAGGAGGAGGAGGGGAGGAGGAGGAGGAGGAGGACTTTGGTGGTGGCCGCCCCGTGGCCGCCCGAATCCGCTCACGGCCGCCCCCCTCCCTGCCGGCAGGGCCAGCGTCGCCGGCGACGGCGAGTCCAGCGTGGCAGTGCTGGTCGCGCGGGCCGCGGCGGCCGCGGACCCCGCGGCCGCCGTGGGCTTTCTGCAGGCCCGGCCAGAGGGGCCCCGCGCGCCGTTGGCGCCATCCCCCGTCCTTCGTCCTTGCGCCCCAGAGATCCAACGCATTGAAAAAATCACGACGGAGGGTTTCCGCATTTTTCGGCCTCGAGGGGCCCTCGCCGGGCCCTGGGACCGTCAAAAAACTACTCAGGATGAAAAACCGGTCCTGGGGGATGGGTCGAGACTTCCGGGGACCCCGTATTGGAAAAATCACGACATCGGATCTATGGGGCCGCCACCCACCCTTTGCCGCTCGCCCCCACTGCCTCCTCCATGCCTCCTCTATTCCTCCTCCTCCTCCATTCCTCCTCCTCCCCCTCCTCTTCCTCCTCCTCCTCCTCCTCCTCCTCCTCCTCCTCCTCCTCAATTCCTTTCCGTAGCCATTTTGGCTCAAGCGGTTGCATGGCCTCGCCCGCGAGCGCCCCCTCCTCTGCGAGGCGCGGCTGCGGAATGTCGGGGCCTAGAGGGGCTCCCTCGGCCCAGCTCGGCGCCTCCCTGGTCGAGGCCGCCGTCCGGGCCGCGGTCGCCGCCGGGGCGCCGCGGCGCACTGTCGCCGCTGTCGCGCGGTCGGCTATCTCCGCCACGCTTTTTGTTTGCGGGGACGCGCCGACGGCGGCGGCCGCGCGTGACGCTGTTGCTGCCCCTGATGCTCGCGCGCCTCCTGCTACACCGCATGCCGCATCCGCGGCCAAAGCGGAGCGGCGGAGGCGCCGACGCCGCCTCGCGGAGCGGCGTGCCGCGGAGGCGTTCCCTGCTGCTGGCGCGGCGTTCGAGGGCGCCACAGTCGTGACGGGTCCTGCTGCTGCTGCTGGAGCGGGCCCTCGGCCTGTTCGAGCCGCCGCGGAGGCCGCTGACGACAACGCGTTGTTCGAGGACGCCTGGGCCTGGTGCGGCCTTCGCCACCCGCTGCGGCGGAGCAGCCTGCTGCTGCTGCCGCCGCTTCGGGCGGGCCGCCGCCCTCGCCTGCTGCTGCCGCGGGCTCGCAGGTCGAGGGTGTCGTGGCCCCGACCTCGCCCCTGCAGGACGACAGCTGGGCCGACCAGCTCCCCGCGCGACGCCCGCCGTGGAGGCGGTGCGCCTTGCCGCGGCGGTTTTTGGTGGAACTGCTTGTGCTGGGGCTGCCGCTGCTGCCCCCCCCACGGCCGTCTCGCGGACGACGTGGAGGATGAGGAGTGGCGGCGGTCGCTGCGCGCGCGGGCGGCGGCGATCATCCGAGGCGCTGGGTGATGGTCGTCCTTTTCACTGCCCAGTGGTGTCCTCGCCCCCTGTCGCACGGCCGTGGGGTGATGTCTCCCCTGCGGTGACAGTTGCTCAGGGGGGCGCCAACCTTTTTGTACAGGTTGCGCGGCAGGCACGGGGGAGGCATTACCCTCCCCGTCCGCTTGCCCTGCTGAGGCGCTGGACTGTTTCTCTCTTGCTCTGGCCACGGGGCGGTCGCCCGTCGTGTGGCCAGTGCCTCCTAGCCCATGGGGTTGCTGGAGGTACTCGTTCGGTCAGTGAGGTCTCCCTCACTGCCAGCAGTGGTATCCCAGCCGCCGCCGCTGTGTCTTTTTTTCACCAAGGCTGTGCGGGCGTTGAGCTCAACAAAAATCCCCCTCCCTTCCTTTTTCCTTATTAATAGCTTCCCCCTCTCGCACCCCGAGGCCGGTCGAAAGGACGGGCCGGGCGTTTCGCCTGAGACTTCCTCACCGCTTATGACCTTGAAGCTTAAACACTGACAACCTCTTCACAGATGGACGGCGGGTCGTTGTCAAAATGTGGTTCTCACCTTAGCGCCGCACACCTTCTTTTTTAACATTTGCATGAGCTTCACGGATTGAGGGCGGGTGGTTTTCAACATGCGGTTCTCGCCGTAGCGCCGCGCAGATTCGTTTTTCACAAGTGCGAGAGTTTCACGGATTGAGTGCGGGCGGTTTCCAAAATGTGGTTTTCGCCTTAGCGCCGCGCACATTCGTTTTACAAATCTACAAGGTTTTCACATATTCCCATGGTCAGCGTACCAGAAATAGCGATTGGAAAGACTCCGAATTATGAGGGCGCATCAGGTACGTTGGTTCGCGGTGTTGAAGTCCTAGGAATCGCGTAATGGCAAGATTCCGGATCGCCAATACGCAGCAGTCTGATTGATCCATGGCGTTGGAGTCCCGAGAAGAATGTTTTGGCATGTTTCAGTGTCTCCAAACGTTTGTCTTCCAACGAAACGTTTCCCTCCGAGGAAATGAATATTTGTAGGGGCTATGGAGATGTAGTTTGGAGGGATGGTTTATTCCAGCATCGTTGGCAACTTTTGGGCTATGGGGTTTACACTGTTCCTCCTCCCCCTCCCCCTCCTCCTCCTCGCCCTCCTCCTCCCTCCTCCTCCTCCTCCTCAGTCCTCCTCCTCCATCCCCCCCTCCTCTGCTCCTCCTCCTCTCCCCCTCCTCCTCCTCCCCCCCCTCCTGCGCCCGTCTTCTTCACCCTTTCCTCCTGTTCCCCCTCCTGCTCCACCTCCTCCTCCTCCACCTCATCTCTTCCATTCCTCCTCCCCCTCCTCCTCCATCCTCCTCCGACTCCCCCTCCTCCTCCCCCTCCTCCGCCTCCTCGCCCTCCTCCTCCTACTCTTCCTCCTCCACCCTCCTCCTTCTCCTCCTCCTCCTCCTTTTCCTCCTCCTCCTCTCCTCCTCCTCTCCTCCTCCTCCTCCGCTTCCTCCTCCTTTACCCTTGTCTCCTCTTTCCCCCTCCACCGCCCCCTCCTCCTCCTCCGCCTCTTCCTCTCCTCCTCCTCCTCGCCTCCCTCCTCCTCCTCTCCTCCTCATCCTCCTCCTCCTCCTCCTCCTCCTCCTCCTCCTCCCTCCTCCTCCTCCTCCTCCTTTCCTCCTCCTCCCTCCTCCTCCTCGTCTTCCCCCTCCTTCCCCTGTTGCTCCTCCTCCTCCTCCTCCTCCTCCTCCTCCTCCTCCTGTTCCTGCTCCTCCTCCGTCCACCCACGCTAACACGTTTTAGTCGTCTTGTCGTTTCGATGTTCGTTTGAATGCTTCATACGCACCAGATCCCGGATGCCGTGGTCTCACACACTTGGTCTCAGCTAGTTGGGCCCGGACAACTACCTGTCCGCTGAGCTGGTTCGGTGGTGCGCTCTTGTGTTCCTACCAGTGGTGGAAAGCTTGGGTTCCGGGGACGAGGGGCGGGGACGAGCGGGCTGGGCTGACCACGCTCGCCGCCACTCTGGCTCGCGCGCGGACGCACTCCCGACGCCCGCTCGCCGCCGACAGCCCCCCTCTCTCCCAGGGGGCGTGCGTGAGGCCGTGTTCCCCGGGCCCTGCCGGCAGCTGCCCTGGCTCAGGCCCTCGGCGACCGCGCGAGCGCAGGGAAACACCACGGAGAAAAGAGAGCCGCCGCCGCCGCCGCCGCCGCACTGGGTAAGGCCAGCTGGGCCCCTCGCACCCGGGCGGCCCGCGGAGCGCGGCGCCACCTGCCGAGCCGCTGCCCTGGAGCGTGTCGGCGCCCCTCCTCACGAGCCAGGCCTCTCTCCACCTGGCCGCGGCTGCTGCCGCGGCGGGCCTGCCCCGCCGCGCGGTGGCGCGCCCCCAGGCGTTTGCGGCGGTCAAGAAGCTGGAAGCAGACATATCCGAGAAAGAGAAGTTGCTGGAGGAGCTCCAGACCTCTCTACAGACGAAGCGGGCCACGCTGGAGGCCAAGAGGATCGAGGTCACCACGCTGCAGGCAGAGGTCAGCACCGCCGCCCAGCAGCTTGCTGGACAGGCACCCCCCCCGCAGGAGTGCATGACCCACTGGACCTCAAGGCTGACGATGTACAAGATGATGATGCGCGACAGTTTCTGGCTACGCCACTATGGGGCAAGCTACGAGAGGTCCTCGCGGCCAACATGCCAGGACCCAAGATGGAAGTGGACCATGACAATGCTGATAATGATGATCACAAGCATGGCAACAGTCCTGATGATGACGGACGTGGTGAAACACAAAAGCGTGGATGTGATGAGCTGGACGAGGCCGAGCAGCAGCAGCTCATCGAGGCGGCCAAGTCAGATGCTGAAGCGTTCACCGCCAAGCTCCGAGAGCTCGGCAAGAAGCAGCGATGTTCCTAATGACGGGAAATGCACCTCTCGTGTCAGGGCTGCGGCTACGTGGTAAAGTATTGAAGCAGCCAGCGACACCAACGATGCAGGGAACGTTCAGCATACAGAGACCTTCAATGCGAGTGGAGGTAGAGCTACGCTGAAGTCACGTTTGGAGAGGACGAATGCTATGATTGTGCTGTACCAGGAGATAGGCTTCACGGAGGAAGCTCTGGAGGCGTTGTATTCATGGGCTGCTGGGCGGCGCTGGAGATGTTCGGCCATGCCAGCGAGGGCCACCAGTGGCTCGATTCCCTCTGGAGGAGTTGCGGTGTTTGCACGAGATGATCTAGGACTGCGACACCCACCAGCAGGCCAACTTATGTGTGCACAGCGGCTACAGCATGCGATCGTAGATATCAGAGGATGGCCGACGATATCCACCCTCAACGCGTACCTGAAAGATTCGATCGGCCCAGTGGGCCTAAGTGCAGAGAATCTAGCGGCGGCGGGGAGGATACTGTCGGGCACCTCGGGGCCTGGACTGATTGCAGGTGGCTGGAGCATGGACGTATCAATGTTAGAACACTCAGGATTTCCTCAGCAAGCTGATATGATCACAGCTGTACCTGCGAATGTTACATTTCGAGGAGGCACGGGAGTGAGCACGACCGACTAGTTTTGCCTGAACAATGCGATCGCGAGAGGATACAGAGGAGTTCAAGCAGCCATGCAATGGCACAAGAAAGCTCATCGGCCAGTCCAGCTGACCCTAGTCGACAACGGGTGCAAAAATCAGCACTACGTAAACACGGCATCGACAAAGTTGCCGGCGACTCCGCCGCCAGGCCCTCTGACTCAGCCGATTGACTGGGCACTGCATGATGCGTTGGCGAGACGAGCCATCGAACTGGCACAAAATGAGGGCAGTGAT